AAGTGGGGCTTATTTGAATTGGGGACCCTGTTGTAGCTCGTGCCAAATTGGTTAGGTTAGGTTAGGTTAGGTTAGGTTAGGTTAGGTTGGAGTCTATTAGAAGAAAGATGCTATTATGACTTGAGGCAATAAGAACTGTTATTATCATTCCACACACACACACACACACACACACCAACCAATATACACAAAATCAACCTTTATCCATTGTCTATACTGAAACAGGTACAAAATAACTATTGATACCACTCCCCAAAAATTTATCTCTTAGGGATGACATCATCAAAATGTTGTCTACTAAAAAGCACACTACGTTACCTGTCCGTTCCAATACACACACAGGCCATAGCTCACCTGTCAATAACGCGCACACAACCATCACCATACACGAAAAAAAAATATAAGGTTAACATGTGTAGGGACGTCAACTATCATACCAACCGCTGTTATGCAGATGAATTGACGTTCAACTTGGCTCGTAACTTTTGTTTTAGTGGGGCAGGAGACCAAAAATTTTATTTTCGGGGAAAACTCTCTCTACCGTGGGAAAACTCGCTCTACCGTGGGAAAACTCGCTCTACCGTGGGAAAACTCTCTCTAAGGTGGGAAAACTCTCTCTACCGTGGGAAAACTCGCTCTACCGTGGGAAAACTCTCTCTACTGTGGGAAAACTCGCTCTACCGTGGGAAAACTCTCTCTACCGTGGGAAAACTCTACCATCGTGGAAAAACTCGGTTTCACTGTGGGAAAACTCGGGTCACCGTGGAAAATCCTACCGTGGAAAACTCGCTCTACCGTGGAAAACTCTCACCGTGGGGAAAACCGCTCTACCGTGGAACTCGCTCTACCGTGGAAAATCCCGTCACCGTGGAAATCCTCTACCGTGGGAAAACCTGCCTACCGTGGAAAATCCTCGCCGTGGGAAAATCCCTCACCGTGGAAAACCTGCTCTATCGTGGGGAAACCGCTCTATCGAAGGCGGGAAAAACTCTCTCTACCGTGGGAAAACTCGCTTTATCGTAGGGAAACTCGCTCTATTGTGGGAAAACTCGCTTTATCGTGGGAAAACTCATTAATCGTGGGAAAACTTGCTCTATCGTGAGTAATGGTACAGAGGTTGAAGGCATATGTGGTTACAGAGGGAAGATATACTGTGGGGACTACCTTTAATATACCGAACTATATAAGAGAATGACAAATGTTACTTCAGAACTCAGCTTTACGGAGGAAGAACCTTGTACTGCGTAGAATCTAGTATTAAACAACTGAAACAAGCAGACGTTAATGTAACCTTATCACCTAGTTAGTATACTCCTCAACTGGTCACTGTGCCAACAAAGGCCCTGAACTCGCTATAATCTTGCCAAGTAGACTAACACGTTCAGTCATGTATGTCTGATGGTGTATAATTGTGTTTTATGTCTATGTGGTTATATGTTGTAGGTATGAGGTTGTCTGTGTATGTGTGAATATACTGTATATGTGTAATTGGGTGTACCATGTGTGACTATGTGTGTGTATGTATACGTGTGTTTATATGAGTCTGGGCCATGTAACTCGTTAACTTAGGGTGTGGTTGTTGTGTTGACGACAGCTTCTACACCTTAAACAAATTCATGTCTAGGTGGCCATCCTTGTTACACAAGGGGCAATCATTATTATTATTATTTTTTATATATATGAGCCTCTTGTGTGTGTGTGTGTGTGTGTGTGTGTGTGTGTGTGTGTGTGTGTGTGTGTGTGTGTGTGTGAGCGCGCCTCGTTTTCACATCAAAGGTAAAATTCTGGCCAAATACACACACTCATATTATTACATTTTTTTTCCCATTGCAGAAAATTAATATCACTATTATATTAACATTCCCTGGAAATACTGAAAAGCCATGAGAATATATTTACAACGATCCTATATATATATATATATATATATATATATATATATATATATATATATATATATATATATATATATATATATATATATATATATATATATATATATATTATTTTGTGAATCATAAGTGTTCCTTTGTGCATATCTATATAAATTAGATGAGACGATTAGTACTTTATATATGCTTATGGAAAGACACACACACACACACACACACACACACACACACACACCCGAGACAATATAATACAGGCAAATAAAAAAACAAATATATATCATGCAAACAAACATATACACAACAGCAACTCACAAAAGCCGTTTTCCCTAAGGTAGCCAACATAAACAACAACAACCCATCCGCCTGAAAATTTAACAACAGTCTCCTCTCCACTGACCAGGGAGAACCAATACCACTGAAAATAATGATAAACCTAAGCACCAGTGGAACACATTCACTCCGAGTGTGTTCCACTAAAAGCCCTCCCCTCCTCTTCTCTCCCCTCTCCCCCTTCTCCCGTTTCTGGTTCATTTTTGATTGGCTCGTGTATTTTCCTTCAGCTATTCAAGTCATGGTGTGGTTGCCCCTCCGGTTGGCGCCAGTTAAAGTGGAAGCTTTCACCAATTTTATTAGTGGTCTGTGAGACGCCCCTTCGGTACTCTGCGTCGCGGGGGGAGCTGATGAATTTTTGTTTCCCCGCCGTCAAGGAGAAGCCTCTTTGTTTCCTGAAGAACACGGAGAAGCCTTCTGCTCCTGACGATGAAGATTTTTTTTCCCTTCAGTAAAGACCACTTTTTTCCAACGGTGAAAAATAAGTTTTTTTTTTTCCAAGAAGAGTAAACACTTTGATCATGGAGAGAAAGTATACGTCTCTCTCTCTCTCTCTCTCTCTCTCTCTCTCTCTCTCTCTCTCTCTCTCTCAAAATTTTAAATGTCTCATAAAATCACGATTAAAGTAAAATAAACATCAATGGGGTGATGATACAAGGACAGAGGAAGACTAATAACACAGACGTATGACAGGTGATGGGTAAGTAAGGTTAGTTTTGGTACGTTGGGTGAGATAAAGTTAGGTTAGGTTAAGTTGGATAAGCTAGGGTTAGATTAGGTTAGTTAAGAGCGAAGGTTAGGTTAAGTTGGGTTGTGTTAAATTTGATTAGGGTAGGTTGGGTTAGTTTAAGTTAGGTTAGGTGAGGTGAGATAAAGTTAGGTTAGGTTAAGTTAGGTTAGGTTCTCTCAAAGTATTCCTGGTGCCACTGAGGAGAAATATTAATGTGTTAGGCTAAGTTAACAAGTAAGAACCATTCTCACATCTCCAGTTACAAGGAAAATTCCTCTTAGGAACTTGTGTGAGCCAGACCAGAGTGTTTCAACACACCCTGCAAGAGCAGTTGCTGGAGGCCGCTCACGCTGAAGACAAATTGAGTTTGTAAGTAAAAGAGAGAATGAAGATGGAAGTTCTACTGATGAACTGACTCAGTTAACGAAGTGACTGAGTAGGAAGCCTTCAAGGTATATGAGTGTTGCGATTCACTGTTATACTCAACAAGTGGATCTGTGTGTGTGTGTGTGTGTGTGTGTGTGTGTGTGTGTGTGTGTGTGTGTAGAGTTGAATTGAGACAAAAAGTCGTAGCATAACGCCGTCATAACCTCCTTGGATTTTCATAAGTAGATTACAATAGTTCTATGTAAATATCAAGCACCATAAAAAAGGTTTACATTATTATAATATATGACTCCAATATTGGTTATGTGAGCCACGGGATTCGGGATTAGGGGTTCAAGGATTCGGGGCTCGAGGTTCTGGGGTTCGACAGCAGGTGTTAGAATTGACCCACGGCATCACCTTACTCTCGTGAGGGTTCTGCTTAAATGTCTTTCACTTTCATTTAAAATTTTCACATCATCAAGACTGGAGAGAGAGAGAGAGAGAGAGACAGAGAGAGAGAGAGAGAGAGAGAGAGAGAGAGAGAGAGAGAGAGAGAGAGAGAAAGAGAGAGAGAAAGAGAGAGAGAGAGAGAGAGAGAGAGAGAGAGAGAGAGAGAGAGAGAGAGAGAGAGAGAGAGAGAGAGAGAGAGAGAGAGAGAGAGAGTAGGTAGAGAAAGAGACCAAATTATTTTCAAGTACCAATCCATACAAAAAGAGATTAACTCAGCTCTGTACAGTCATCGTGTTCCATGTAATTCTGAGCTCTCACATTCATATTCATAAAACGTGAGGGCGGAGCTGGGAAAGCAATATTCACGGTCACAGATGACCTAGGTTAACCACACACACACACACACACACACACACACACACATACACACACACACACACACACACACATATGTGATTGAATGGGAGGAGGGCTAAGAGAGCTGGGAGATGGCTGGGAAAGCTGGGAGGAGAGACACAAGCACACGCTTAATAATGTATCTGCACTTTCCTCCCTGTCTCACACTCACAATGTCCCGGGCCAACAAGGCTGACTCAAGAATTTTACCACTGCCAAATACTGTACCCTAAAGCTAACCTAACCAGAATTTGAGGTTATTATTAGCACAAGGAATGAGGGACTGACATGGGCAATGGGTCGGTTATTATATCTGCTGGACGAACACACGTATAGTACAGTTGACCAGGGAGATCCTACAGTGGATACCAAGAGATAGGAAAAGCAGTGGCACGATGATGATGAACTATGTGTATTTAAAATGAGACCAGACTTTTTTAATTGTTGAGCGGTGGTGGTGACAATCATAGTAATCGTGATGGTAGTGATAGTGACAGCAGTGGAGGCCGGGCTGCCGTGCCCTACACCTCTCGCGTCAGATAGATGACTGGTGCCCGTCGCTCGTGTCATCGCTCTTACTCACTGTGGGAACTCGGTAGTTGCCGCGCAGGACACTCACCTCCACTACATGAAATCCTGTATTAAATCCGCAACAGAATTTCCTTATCAATGACGAGGAGAGAGAAATAATATTTGTATTATAAGATGAAGAAAAGAAGGAATACGATGAGCTAGGTGAAGTTTTTTGTTATAGAGAAACTGGTGAATTGACAACCGTGAACAAATCTAGGAAACCAGGGCAACATCCCCCTCCTCCCCCCAGTCAGGGCTGAGCCACCGTCGGGGTGGGTCATGCTCGCTCGTTGCTCGCTCGCTCTCTCAGGGGGACATTTTTGATATCGCTCGGCAGGGACTGAACTTGTGTTATTGTCTGGGTGACGCGAGAAAGAACATGTAGCTATTTCTCACTTTATGTTCAAACAGTGTTAACCTGAAATACTTTACCAGAGAGAGGAATAACGAGTGATGTATTTATTTTTATTTTACCCCAAACTTTAAACTTCACAACAAAGATTGAAAAACAAAATATAGTTACTAATCATTTTATATTAACACTTTACTGAAATACATGACTCTAGGGGAATATTAGAGTTATTTTATATTGTAACTCCATGAACATTATCAAAAATACTGAAAATAAACTTGATATTAATTAAGAATGTTGAGACTACTGTATTGTAATAACATAGTTCAGCCGACGGGGAATATATCTCCAGTGATTTAACACAACAGGAGTGAATTTTGTACATACAGTTAGTGAAGGTTCATAGTTCTCACACAACACAACCGACACATAAAAAATCAGCCAAAACACTGAAAAACAAAAATCCAAAAGAACAAACAATTTTAGTTTTAGTTTTTCAGTTTGAGTCTTTTAGTAATTTGTTTTTTTATCGAGTGAATGTGACGATGATGATGACGTGTTGTGGCGATGGTGGTGGTGATGGTGATGGGTAGTGATAGTGGTTGTTGCTGTGGTGGTGTTACAGTGGTGTCGCGGCCTCCCCAACCACTGCTACCAGGCCCCCGCCAAGAGTGGTATGACCATCCCCCCACCAACAACAACAACTTTCTTTCCCAGCAGTCTCCGCCATACTTGAGGTAGGTCTTACAACTAGTACTATCCCCCCCCCCATCACTCACCCCCGTCAAAAAACAAAAACACATTACAATATTTCAACAATCACGTGAACTTTTACACGTCGGAAAAAAAAATAACGTTAAAGAAAATAATTATAAAAAAAAATAAAAAAAACATCAAAGTTCTCTGTTTTTTTCCCTATCAATATAATTAGTGTGAGAGTATAATAACTTATTTCAATACATTATAAACTTAAATAAAATCAATATTTAATAAAAGAGAAACAAGAATACATTTAAATATACAAAAGCATATCGAGTATTTAACCCGTATATGATGACTAAAGATCCAGTTTTAAAGTACGTATTACTCTACTGTTATTATTCCTCAATTTATAAGTAAGGAAAATAAGTTAATTCTAAAATCACTTCAAAATATAAGTGAAAAAATATTATATTCGATAAAAAAGGCGAAAGAAAATAATCCAGTTCGCGTGACTGGGTTATTATGCTCACGAATTTATTTTTAGAAGAACTTACACAAAAATCGGAGAAAAAGTTATATTGGAAAAAAATTACAAATGGAAAATCAACACCTCCCTCTCCCCCTCTCTTCCCAACCTCTCATTACAAGGTAAGTGATATGAAGGATTTAAACGAAGATACAAAAAAAAAAAAATAACTAGATCAGAAAAACTATATTGAAAAAAGTGTAATATCAAAGCCATTTTTTTTTCAAACCGATTTCCTTTATTTTTTTTACGAGAGATGAATGAATTTTATATGAATTAAAAAGAAAGAATATTAAAAAAAATATTCCCCAAAAATCATTAAACATAAAAAAAATCAAAAAAATTCTTGGAGATACATAGAAAAAAAATTGCAAAAAATCTAGAGACTAAGACTGTGTTGTATCGTGGTAGAGGGAGTGAACTTGGGGAGCAACAAAAGATCCATTACACCACGGACAAAAATACATCGATCAAAGAAAACTGCAACAAAACAATTATTCTCATTCTTCATTACTGGATCTGTCAGCTGAGCCAAGCTTTAAAAGAAAGTAAGGGAGAGAGAGAGAGAGAGAGAGAGAGAGAAAATATACCAACAACAGTCCACCATTATTTTCCTCTTGTTCTCCTGTATTGTGTGGGCAAAAAAAAAGGTGAACTCAAAAAATAAATAAATAAATAAAATGAAACTACGGAAGCCATTGGTCAGTGGAGAAGGTGATCTTACAGGTCAGGTCAATATTTTAGAATTTTTCGCCGATGATCTTTGACCTTGACCTTTCTCTGATGTTAACCAAAAAGATGCAGTGACCTAACCTAGGTTGACCTGATCTAAAAAAAAGTAAAAAATGGATGATACGTGTTGACTTCCGATGACCTTTGACCTTAATCCTAGGAGGTCAATGGAGTGAGATGATCGGGATTAATACGGTAGCTGGGTAAAGGTAACCTCCTCCTAGAGTGGGATGATCCTTATTCATGACATCTGACCTTTGACCTTTTTTCCACGATCTTTATTATTGAACTTGACCTGTAGTTATATGTTAGTAATACTTGATTGAAATTTGAAGATAATTAGGTTAAAGGAGACTGAAGTTAGTGCAGGGAAACCAACGTAAACGGCACACAGCAGACAACGTAAACGGCACACAACAGACGACATAAACGGCACACAACAGACAACATAAACGGCACACAACAGACAACATAAACGGCACACAACAGACATCATAAACGGCACACAACAGACAACATAAACGGCACACAACAGACAACGTAAACGGCACACAACAGACAACGTAAAACGGTACACAACCGACAGCATAAACGGCAACATAACAGACAACGTAAACGGCACACAACAGACATCAAACGGTACATACAACAGACATCGTAAACGTAACAACAGACGACATAAACGTAACGGTACACACAACAACATAAATGGCACAGACGACATAAACGGCAGACGACATAAACGGCAGACAAACATAAACGGCACACAACAGACAAACATAAACGGCATAACAACAGGACGACAAAACGGCAATAACAACAGACAACATAAACGGCACACAACAGACGACATAACGGCACACAACAGACAATAAACGGCACACAACAGATAATAAACGGTGGTACACAACAGACAACGTAAACAGCACAAAACAGACAACATAAACGGCACACAACAGACGACATAAACGGCACACAACAGACAACGTAAACGGCACACAACAGACAACATAAACGGCACACAACAGACGACATAAACGGCACACAACAGACGACATAAACGGCACACAACAGACAACGTAAACGGCACACAACAGACAACATAAACGGCACACAACAGACAACATAAACGGCACACAACAGACAACGTAAACGGCACACAACAGACAACGTAAACGGCACACAACAAACATGATCATACCTTAACACAACTATAATAAATGCGAACGAACAAAACAAAAAAATATATATTAAACACCAACCCCCCCCCAAAAAAAATTCTCTCGTCTCGATTATCAGGTTCACAAAATCACTGCACTTTGGGGAAAATTGTTGAAAAAGAATAAAACTGAAAAATAATTTACTGTGATAGAATAGCTCAAAATCCTCGCTCACTCCCCGCAGCCATAAATGCTTTAACAATTTTAATTGAATTTTACAAAACCGAGTTAGGAACATTTTACTGATGTAATGATTTATGCAAAGTGATATTTACTAAAGGTGCCAAAACGCTAAAAAAATACACTCCTGGAATATTATCTCTAAAAGCGATTATTATTTTTTTACGACATTATATTATTATTATTATTATTATTATTATTATTATTATTATTAGTAGTAGTAGTAGTAGTAGTAGAATCATCACTGTAATTATTAGTATTATAATATTTAGTCTTATTACTAGCATCATAAACAAAGCATATTTGAATTATTACCGTTCTTGCTTGAATCCGGATTTAGACGGATTTTTTTTCCATACATTATCCTTATATGACGGTCAATAAGTTGCACACAGTATCAGGGAAGTGTTGAAGCCACTTTCGGTCGTCATTTTAACACTGTGACTGATACAAGAAATTAGATTTGTTTAAGCATTTTTATCAATGGCAACAATATAACTTTGCCCTCTCGTAAAATCCTAAATAATAAAACAAGAAACAAATACAGAACACAACAATAAAGTAATAAAAACACATAATAAAACAATAAAGAAGGAACACACAAGAGGGCGTGATAAAGGTGAAGGTAGAGGAGGTGGAGGAAGGGAGGGTGAGACCAGAGGGTTGGGTTTAAGCTACGACTTCCTGGCTGGCCGTCGCTGGATATCCTGTCTCCCTCAAGAAGCGTGTGGCGGACAAGTGTTCCTCTTCCTACCACACGCCTCCCGTCCGCACGTATAAGAAAGAAAAAAACTAGTACGGTAAAATTTAGTTTAGGTTGTACAAGAGTCGAGCTAAGACAGCTTGTAAAGTGAAAAAATAAATGTTATGTATGATAGATGATGATGATGATAATAATAATAATAATAATAAACATACCCGAGAATAGTGGCAGACTAAACAACATTAAAAAACAAATTTACTTTAGAAATATCCCCCCCCTCCGGTAGTCGCATAAAAAAAAAACCTTGGAAACATGATCTAATTACGTCATATCCTCCGGGGATTTCGCTAAAAATAAAATCATTGTAAAAAAGGATTTGATTCACGGATATCCTTTGGGAACAGATCATTTCCCAGTCCTGCGGCGCCACAGGATACAACGCTGTAACTTTTTATACCGGAAGACTTTAGTGACAGGTATCATAATTTACGCAACAGGTGAGCACAGGTGTTAACAAGGCTAAATCAATATACAAAATATAAAAATATAACGTGTTCTCAAGAGGAATAGTTTATTTTTAGGGTTAAATATTTTATATTTTGTGTGTCCTCAACGCGTCAGTTTGTTTTTAGGAATAATTTTTCTACTTTTTATTTCAATATGTGATAAAAGCCTACAATCTTCCTTACGCAATCCAAACTAACCCAAACCAACCCAACCCAACCCAACCCAACAATACCCAACCCAACCCACCCCACCCCACCCCAACCTAACCTAACCCAACCCAACAGGCACCCCAGCCCCCCACTAAGAGGAGCTGGTCTGCAAACTGGTCAATGGAGCAGAAAGTTTGTAAAATAAGATTGAAAGAAATTGTATCCTCAACGAGTCGCTTTTTAAAACTCATAAAACAGGATTTACCTTCAGATATATTTTCCTCTCAACCGCACTAAAAAAAAAAAGTCTTATCCGAAAAATCTTTTGAGATGAGCTCCGTGAATCGCTTGAAACCCTCGTAAAATAAGATAATCATAAAAATAACAGTATAATAGAAAAACGAATCATATGACAGCCGTGCTAGGATCTGTAAAACAAGGCTCGTGGAAGATTTATCCTATGGGACGTTCTAACACCTTATAAAACACGGCTTAAGGAAGTGGTATCCTTTAGGAGTCCTGCCAGAAATATTGTCGAACCGAATTATTTACCTGTATAATGACAGTAACTCTACCTCACCTGTATAATGATAGTAGCTCTACCTCACCTGTATAATGATAGTAACTCTACCTCACTTGTATAATGACAGTGAACAACTCTCAGGGCTCCCACGTGAATCATATTTATATTTTCCATTACTTTCCATTGACCATATTATTTAAAAGGCTTCTATACGGACTTGCTAGTGTAGCCAAGAATCTCATGTCTAATTGAAATTCTACAGTTTACAGTAACGGTAATACACTGTAGTTCTCTCTTCCATAATCACTTCACTACGACGACGACACATGGGGATTTTTTTCAAGCTGAGAGCAAGCCATTGAACTGATGGGGTTATATACGGCGGTGTGTGTGTGTGTGTGTGTGTGTGTGTGTGTGTGTGTGTGTGTGTGTGTGTGTGTGTGTGTGTGTGTGTGTGTGTGACCTGCTTTACCCGACTGTATGGGTGTATGACAT